ACCTTGTTATCTCAGATTCTCCAGCATCTGCAGTTCCTACTATCTCTCTACTCTAAATCTGCACAAGTTCTGCTTTCCAGCACTTGACCCAGAGCCTTGAATATTTATGATATTTCAAATGCCCATCCAAATACTTGTTGAAGTTTGAGAGGTTTCCTGCCTCAACTACTCTCCCAGGCAGTGCATTCCAGATTCCCACCACCCTCTGGGCGAAAGAAAATTCCTTGAACCCCCTCTAAACCTCCTGCCTTTTGTCTTAAAATTATGCTCTTGTTATTGATCTATCAACGATTAAGTTCATAAGATAAATCCACGTTTTTGAAATGCTTCATGATTTAGCAGTTTAAATTTCTTAAAATGTTAGTAGTGATCCGTATTAATGTAAATGACTAAATAATGATACATTCATCAATCAACACGGATAGGTTGCAAAATGAGAAAGCATGAAATAGAAACAAAATCTGTAATTCTAACACTGCCCAGGTATACTTGACACAGTTTTTTGAGCATTTTAATTTTCTTGTTGTAGTTACGATAGAAAGTGGAAATGTTCTATGGTTCTACATACATTAGAAATCTGAACCTTAGAAATTAAAGAATCTGTGAATAAATGTTACCTAATGCAATCGTATGGGTTCAATTGAATAATTCATATGAGAGCAAGTATTGTACCTTGACCTGAATTAGAGTTGCCTTTTAAAAAACACTTGAGTATTTGCTTGTGTTAAGCTTCTTGCAGGCTATTAAACACAGTTGATTAAATCTTTAAAATAAGACAGGCAACCTTTACTAAATCAATTTGATGTTGCTGCACTAATTTTTTTTTAACTTTAAAGAAAATGTTGGCTAAGCAAGCCGAAGAGAACCGAAAAGTTAAAACCGAAGAAAGTTCTGAAGTTCAGGCTTAAGAGCAACGTGACCAACGAAGATTCCAGTGTTCATTACTTTGTCTAACCAGCTAGCTGATCATCCTTAAATTTACTAATATCTTCAGTGTCATTTTTCTTTTGTCATTCTGACAGTGTTTGGGGATGTCTTTGTATTGCTGTGTACAAGCATGCGTGAATAGAAGGCCAACAGTAATCTCATTTTTGGTTGCAGTCATTATAATTGTTAAATGGAAAATTGTTTCTTGGGGAAATTGGGCAAGTCATTGTATTTCTAGGAACATTGCAGTGTGGATTGATAGCTTCTGTGCTAATGCCATAAATATCAGGTGTTGGGGGTTCTTGGAGAAAAAAGAATCGTTGGTCCAAACATGCCTTTTTTTTTGTTGCAAAGATATTTTGCAGTGTGGGGCTATTTTAGAAATCTGTGGAACTTAATTATTTTTGTTGAAGGTAAAGTAAAAGGTTAAAACAATTTGGATGTTCAATATTTATTACAGATTCGATATTGTTTCTTTAAGGACTAATTATTCTATATAACTCAGAAGTTACTCGAACAAGTGTCGACAGTGTTCACTTGTTCAGTATTGCAGTTTGGTTGTGCCCTTAGTGAACCTTGCACCTCCATAGGATAGAAAGTGGAGGGCGTGGTTACAGAATTGATGTGGGAACTTGAAAGAGCCATAACAATGGTAGGCAATCTGTTTGATAACACTGGAGTGTAGGGTTGGTTTCAGCTAAATTAACAATTGGTTTTTGAAATAATGCTCCTAAGTATCAGCAACCCAACTAGTAAAAGTGAAGGGCAAAAATATATTTTAGATTTGTTTTCTTGAACTGATTTTTTTTCAAAACTGTTGGTGGGCGGGGGCGGTAATTTGATTAGCCATGGTTATGTTCAGCAAATATTGAAATTTTTTTAATAGACTGTGTACCAGTTCTGCATACAAATAGACCGATTACTTTATAACCCACGTTCAAAAAAGAGGTAGAAGTTGTGCTAAAGACGTTTAAACATTTTTGCTTAAGTCCTTTCCTGCACTGACGAATTACATGTTGGCCAACTTGCACTCAACCTTTTCTCTCAAACATTTCCAGCAAAATACAAGTTAACCTGACAAAAGTGATGAAGCAATTTTTTGAATATTTCCCTTATGCACACATTCTGAATTTCTAAATTATAAGTAGTCAGGCTGGATTGAACTTCTGGTTTTTATGGGGAAATCTGTCAGTGTTGTGACTTAAAAGAAGAATGCTACATTGTTGAGAAAATATGAAAGTAATGTAAGACTTTTACATTAATACAACATTTAAAATTTCTGCAACATAGCTGCATTTCTTCATTCAGTACTACAGTTTAATGTTTTTATTTGTTTAGAATTTAGCTCTATCAACATTACATAAGTAGAAATATTATTGCAGAAAATAAATTGTGTTTTGAAATAGTCTGTCAGTTTGTCTGGAGTAACCTGACCTTTTGCATTCCTGTATATAGTTATTCTATCCAGCTTTACCAATCAGCTAGAGGCAGTTACCAACCACTCTCTCTCTCAAGCCTGCATGCGCACGCCTTCAGAAACTGCTGGCAGATAATGCATAACTAGATTTTATTGGCTGTCCATTTTAGTACTAACCATCTGAAGTTTTTTTAAAATATCAAGTGATCCACTTGTGTTTGAATTCACAGGTTTCCCCAAAAATTCCATATCATGGCCCAGTTGGTCCTTGACTTATTGTTACCTTTTGTCATGCACAAGTGATTGTGAGCAACTCTTTGATCCAGCTTACTGCATATAAACAAATTCTGTTGTAAATAGTTTTTAATAAACCATTGTTGTGACTGAAGATTACTGTCGGACCAGGATTCTGTTGGTATAATGTGTTGATAATTCTGTCACTGGAATGAGTACACTGCTCATCGTCTTATTTTTATCATAATTTTAAGTTTTTTTTTTCCCCAAGTAGTAGCTTTTAATGTTGGTATCTATTTTAGATGTGGATGAACTGCAATGTGGATAAATGTTTTGGTTAGTTACCTTACACGTGACCTGCTGGGAGTTGTGCTTTCTTGGCAAGTATTTCCTGCATGGGTGTGGAGTAATAATAAATGCTTCCATGCGATTAAGTTTGCTAATGAAAGTGTTTTGTCTAAACAGAATACAGTATATGCAGCCAACTGTGTTTAACAAAGGAATTGTGTGAAACACTGCAGCTTTAATCACGAGGCAGCAATGTATGAAAACTGCTGTTATGTAATGTTTTGGTTTGAGTAGAACTAAGTTTTGTAACAGTTTATGTTCAAATAAAGCTCCAGGTTTCTAAGATCACTTGAATTTTGCTTTTGAGGAAAACTTTAAGCGCAAACTGTTTACTTTATCAAAGAAAAATTATTCCTTGCAATGTAGGTTTTTTAGAACTAGATCATTGAGTTTGGATTTGTTAATCTTTGTTGTGAATGAGTTTAATTCACAAATTCTCAGCTGCAGGCAGCCACAATTCAATTTTCCATTAATTTACTAAGTTACGAGAGCTTGACCAATTATTTCGCTCAAACAGACCAAATTCAAATCGACCACGCCCTGTTTCCTGAAAACAAAAGAGACTTTTTTTAGACACATGTACTTTGACATTTCAGACGGGGACATGAGCCTATTTTGTTTTCTGATCCTGATTTCATATTTGTTGCCTTTGATATTTGATGACTTAAAAAGTGTATTCACTATAGCAGAGGTTTGTAATCCAAAGGATTGTGTAGTCTGTGTTAGTGACAGAGCACTGAACAAAGCTTCCATTTGTGATACTGGGGGAACAGACTGACCTTGTAAATCCTGTTGCCATGCCTGGCCTTTGTCTGTTAGAAATGGGAGATTGAGCCAAGGTTTATTAAGAGTGGCTTGTCCATATGGGCATCACATGAATGTAAAATACAAAATAAGAAAATACCATTCTTCACAGAATTTTTGACTATCAATTATGGCCAACTTATTTTTTCTTGACAAAACATTTTACCAAGCTTCTTCCAAATTTGGGTACATCATACCAAATCATTTGTGGTTATTTTACATTTTCACAAAGCTTTATTTCTATACAAATATAGAATTCCTTGCTTTGAACTGTGTGTGTGTCTATACCATATGAACTATAGCAGTTTGAAGCGAGTTACCATCGCCACCTTGAGGCAAGTTAGAAATGGGTAGCCAATGCTTTCATCCTGTGATTTTTTTTTAAATGATTGGATTGAATGAAAAATTGCAGCACCCAGTCTCAAATCAGCACAGGTCCATGGTGCACATGCAATAGATTGAAATCAATGGAAAGTGATCAGCAATGGTAAGCTATTAGTATCTGGGATTAAGAAGGTGAGTCATCATAGGGGGAAAGATGCAATTATTAATGAACAACTGTGCAAAAGGTTGTCTTTAAAACTCTCCTCAAGACAAAGGCCTGGATTCTAGACCTCCTCAAACATGATGTATGTTGATGGTAACCTGGACAAGTGACAAACTCACCTTCCAACCTGACTCCCTCAGATTTAATCTCTGCCATAACATCACTCTTCCGTTGTCCACATTCTGGTTGTGTTGGGTTTGCTGTTCAGTCAACCTATGATAATCACTCTTGTCTGCTATATATAGGGCACAAATCTAGGGTGTGGTGGAGTATTCACCACCTACCTGGATGGGTGCAGTTCCAACAACATACAAGAAGCTTAGTGCCACCCAGGACAAAGCCACAAACTTAATCAGTATCTTATCCACCTTCAATATTCATTCCTTCCACCAGCAATACACACTGGTAGCAGTGTACACCACTGCAGTAATGCACACAATTCCAAAATCAGTTTCTAAACACATGACTTGTACCACATGACGAATATGTCTATTTGCTGTCGTGGTATCCAGTTTTACTCACTTTGGGTCAGTGATGAGACTTTTTTAAAACAATTTTGATTCTTGAGCAGAACTCATAACATAACTATCTTTTACACAATTGTGTACAACTGAATTCTTTTGTGAGAATATAATAGCTAAACTTGTCACTCTCTACCCCACCAAAGTTATCCATAGTGGTCCTTAATATTTCGTGACAGGTCCTTAAACTCAAGCTCTTGGCATTTTGGTGTGAATGCTCCAGTGAATAATACACTCTTGTGGTCTAAATATTTGCTTTGTTTAGTGCAACCCATTTTTGAAAAGCTAGTATTTAAACAAAGGCATCAATGGGATTACTGAGCTGGAATGAACCAAGATGTGCAATTGCTAATGGAGATTCCTTCATGTCTTGATAGAATTTTTGTTCGTTGCCAGAAACAAATCCCAGGTTTTTACGTAATGTTAAATTCAATTATCAATTTTTATACAGAAATTATATTCTTGTTTTGTTAGACAGATTCTACATTTCAGGGTTTAACATTTCAGATCTGGTTGAGAATGTCCATGAGTAACATTATTGACCCACTACCAACTATAGCCCTTAAGTGGCCAGTGAAATGCCACTTGAGGGCTTCAGCATGGTGCCTGTCTTTCCTGGCAGGTGAGAAAAGTGGGAAACCAAAGCAGCCTGCCTTCCATTTCCCCAAATTCTTGGGGGCAAAAGCATGGCTTCTGTAGGCTACCCTCCAGTTTGACTTTAACTTCTATTTCCCCGCAGTCCTCAATCCAGGATCTTCTGAAAATAATCCACTTGCTTGTTGTCTCAGCCCCTCATGGCTTCAAAATCTGAACCTCCAGTGAAGACCTCAAAGTCCCAGATGTTACATGCCTCTGGTCAACAACCTCAGTCTACTGGATGCATCATTTATTGGTTTGAATACAACCAATTCCAAGAGCTGTGGTCCTTTTCATTATCAACGTCTGAAATGTAGTAATATCAATGATCACCAGAAAATGTGCACAGATTGATTAAGAATGAGCGATTAATTTAATCTCTCCTTGTGTTAATGTTTGCATAGGTGACTGGCTGTCCTTTCTGCATCATTGTTGCTCCGGATTCAAATGCACCACATTTTTTTTTGTTGTGTGCATATAGTACATGAGGACATAGAGATGACTAAGACCAGACAGCCTATTCATCCTACTCTACTGTTTACTATGGCTTGAACTCCCATGTTCCTGCCTGCTCCCTGTTTTGGTTGATTCCCTGAGACCAAATGTTTGCCCATTTCAGCCTTAAAAGATGGAGCATCCAGATCCTTCTGGGGAGAAGATTCTAAAAGCTGACAACCCTGTTAGTGGAGCAAATTTTCATCTCTATCCTAAATTATCAACTTTGTCCCACTATTCCAGATTTCTCTGCCAGAGGAAATTCTTCCCCATATCAAGCCTTTACATCTTCTCTATGTCACTAAGGGTACATCTCTCATTCTTCTAAATTCCATGAGACATGGATAGGGTGAATAGCCAAGGTCTTTTTCCCCGGGTTGGGGAGTCCAAAACTAGATGACATAGATTTAAGGTAAAAGATATAAAAGGACCTAAGTGGCAAAGTTTTCATGCAGAGGGTGGTGTGTGTATGGAATGAGCTGCCAGACGAAGTGGTGAAGAAGAAGTGACAACATTTAAAAGGCAGCTGGATGGGTACATGAATAGGAATGATTGAGGGGGATATGGGCCAAATGCTGGGAAATGGGACTAGATTCATTGAGGATAGCTGGTCGGCACGGATGAGTTGGACAGAAGGGTTTGTTTCTGTGGTGTGTGACTCTAGCTCTCATCCCAGGAACCAGTCCTATAAACATTCTCTGTACTGTCTCCAATGTACCTATATTCTAATATAGCAACATCCCATAAACACACCCTTTTCAAAAAGGCAAATTCAGAAAGACAGATTGTCTCACGTGCAGTCCTATCAGCAAGAAAGAGATACATGCAGGACCTCCCCAGAGAGAAACCACATAGCAGCCAGGAGAGGTTCACTGCCTTCCAACCCTGCTAAGACCCCAGCAACAACTGCCAAAAGATAACTAAAAATCCTGGATCTGAGAGCTAGAGCTAAACCACACCCATTCAGGCTGCTTCTATTGTTACAACTTTTAAAAAAACCCAAGGCCTTACAAGTTGTTTATCTTCTCATAGACTGTTTGGTATCTGTTCCCCACTCTGTCTCTCTAAAAATAAGAACAAAATAACCTTGTAAAGCCACAGCATTGTCACCCCATAGTGCATGTAAAGGGTCTCTCAAGAATCTCTTCACACAACAAGACCATGACAATGTGAATGGTCCCCTGGAACCTCCATTTATACAACAGAACACTGACAATGCGTCTGCCTCAGGATGTCAGGCAGACTTGGGCAACATTTAATGTAGATGTAGCTTCTGGGCAGGTTGAGGCAGTACCTGATAGTTTACAGGTCGCCTTTCCAGGCAGGTAGAGTCAGGCTTGTAGCTAGTGATCTAACACACCAGGAGGAGGAAGCAGCTGGTGCCCGGTAGCACCCAGTGAATGGTACACATGAAAGTCCTGGATGGGAATGGGAGGCACTTGCCTTAAGACACAGTCCAGTTCAGTATCAGGGATGCAGCATATGCCAACAGTTCTCACGGCAAGGTGAAGCAAGTAGACAAAGAAAGCATTGCCATGCATTGGTCGGGAACATACTCAATTTCTCCACCTCCGCTGCATCTGCTCCCTGTATGAGGCATTCTACTCTAGGACTTCCCAGATAACCTCCTACTTTAGGGACTGTAGTTTACCCTCCTGTTATTAAAAATACCCTCCTGTTATTAAAAATGCCCTCAACTATGTCTCCCCCATTTCCCACACTTTTGCCCTCAATCTCTCTTTCCCCCCCCCCCGCCAACAATAAGGGTAGAGTCCCCTTAATCTTCACATACCACCCCACCAACCTCTGAATACAAGGCATCATCCTCCGACATTTCCGCCACCTCCAATCAGACCCCACGACCAAAAAGATAATTGCCTCCCCACCAGTGTCCCCTTTCCGCAGGGACTGTTAACGACTCCCTTGTCAGCTCTGCACTCCCCACCATATCCTCCACCACGCCTGGTAGCTTTCCCTGCAACTGCAGAAGGTGCTACACCTGCCCCCTTGCCTCCGTCCAAGCCCCCAAACAATCCTTCCAAATCCGGCAGAGATTCACCTGCACTTCATCTAACCTCATCCACTGTATCCATTGCTCCTGATGTGGTCTCCTGTATATCGTGAAGACCAAATGCAGACTCGGGGACCTTGTGCTCTACATGCACCAACCAACCTGATCTTCCGGTTTCCATCCATTTTAACTCCCCCTCCCACTCCCCGGTGACATGTCCATCGTTGGCCTCCTCCACTGTCAGAGTAAGGCCAAACATAAACTGGAGGGA